TTATAGACATGTTGCTACTACAGTTTAAGAAAACACAATAAAGGAAAGATTAGAGTGCATTGTGAAAAACAATCTTTCAAAGTGCTGGTAACTCTCAAATATGTCTCAGAATGGGAGTCAAGTATCCAGTTGGAGATATAATTTTGTCTTCCAAAACAGAGGCTACAATATGACTTTCTTCTAGAGAGGCTAACATTTCCCTTTTCCAAGCTGAAACAAATACATATCTGGGCCTTCTATCAGTAGCTTAAAAAAAAGCTAAACAACCAATTCCAGGGATTTACTAGTGTCTTAGTATTTCCCTGATTATATCATATCCACCTAAATAAATGTGATTATATATACAGGTTGTGTAATTAAAGACATTCACAAGTCAGGGCGTTTATAGCATAGAGATTTTACCTTTATATCAAAAAGGTCATCCAGAATTTAATTTTCATAAATGGCACAATGCAATTTAATACTTTTTTGTTATAGATTTCATGGGCCAGTTTAATAAGAGGTGATGATTGAAGATGTTAAATAATAGCTGATTATAAAAATCATACTCTGAATCAGCTTGAATGGATTTAAGCTTTATAAAATATTTTAAATATTGCTTGTTTGGCTTGGTCTTGCCCAGATTTCATCTTCTCTAATATCAAAAAAGAAGCAATTATGATATCTAATAAATTAACTCTTTGAAAAAAAGGAAAAGGAAGAAATAACTAAAGAGTTGACAATTCATTTTGTGTGTGTTTAATAACAAGTTATCATTACTCATTGGACAAAAACAAATCTGGAAAAGGAGTAGATTAATCAATGGGTAGAAGCAAATGCATTGCAAGTACTATAGTCTTCTCCTGCTCTAAGAATATACATCTCTCAAAATCTGTATGAATTTTCCTTCATGACACATCTTAATAATCATAAAACTACAATCCACTGAGGCTCTAGGCAGAGGATTATTATAATTATGTCAAAGGAGAAACATGTTCTACCTCTTGCATACAAGTATTTGATTTAAAAAAGTCAATACCCATTGCAGACATAGTTCTACTTTGATGGTACCAATATCTAGCTACTTCAGTTGACCTGATTCCTTGAGCACTAAATAATGTTCTGAATATAATTTGGTTTCTGATGTGGATTAGGGAGAGAATGTTCTGAGCAACAAACACTTAAAAATCTGGTCTACTTAGTAATTGTATTTCTTATAATAACATAAATTATCATTCTGTTTTGTATTTTCAAAAAGAATTCCACTCCATTTGGTGCTATAGCCTTAGCAATCTTAGAAATGCTCAATAAACAGGAAACTTTAAGTCCAAAGATGCTTGTATTGCACTCGCTTTTTCCTTTAGTGAGTGTAATAGGTCAACAGGGTCAGACAGTCACACTTAACCGCTCTCAATGGTGGATTGTTGGCATTTGCATAAGCCTTTAGAGTTATCCCTTCATTCTCTTCTCCCTCTCTCCTCCCTGCCTCCTACCTGTCCCCAAGCACACAGATTGCCCAGGCCTTCCCACAGACCTGACAGGACCCAGTGAAGAGGGTCAAGTGTGGAGATATGGCATCTGAAAAGCAGATTCCCCTTATCCTGCTTACTACCACACCCTCAGGGCATGGCAGACCAGGAGCCAGTATCGAGTTTCCTGCATCCAGGAAGGTAAGATAGTTCTTATTCAAAGGCAACAAAGGGCCACAATTTGAACAGAAGGAGAAAACCTTCAGTCTGGGGTGTGATGTAACAGGAATCTGAAGAAGGTAGCATTGAAAATAATAATAATCTTTCCTAGACAAGTCATTCTCATGGGAACTTAGCAGAGAAATTAAGCAGAGACATAAACACAAAATTTTCCAGAACCACAGCAATTTGCTAAGCCTACACTTAAAATCTCTTTAGAAAGAAGGCAAGTAAAACATGAACTTTTAAAAAGATAACCAGTTTCCTGAGCCTTGAAGTGCTATACTTCTGGTGATGATTTGTAAGGGAACTGCCCTCCATCTTTGCAAAATTGCCTTTGAACACATTTGGCTGGGATAAACCCACTTACATTCCTAAAACCACCAGAGTAGAACAAAATCAAAATGGCAGGATCGTTTGAGTTTCTAATTCCCTCAGCTTCCCATGAGCTGTCATTCTTTTTCAAAGAGAGGACTCTGCTTCCTCCCTGCCCCCATGTGCTGCCACAGTCCTAGAACTGTGCCCTTCCCAAAATGACCGAGAGTGGCACCTCTTATATGAACACAGCAGAAGAACGGCATGTGGCTTGACCAAGAGGCCCTCCCGGGTCAGGCAGCCCCACATCTGTTCCACATGGCACTTTCAGTCTGCGTGATTCTATTGTAAACAACACGCGGTGTGGGGCATCCAAAGTACATGCAGTACCCATAAGGCTGGGCCACATTAAGACTAGCTCCTTCCCAGTCTCTGCTGAACCAGGGATCCCCAAACCCTGCCATCCAGTCACATGCAGGGTCACTGAATTACCATGGTGACTGCAACTGTTGCTCTGTACTCAGTGCCCACTGGCGCTTGACCTGGTGTGATGGGAGTTAAATGGTCATCCCAAAGACAGAAACACAAGGAAACTATTGTCATTATACCCAAGGAGGGACTAAAAGTTAGGAGGAAGGGGAGGGAAGGGAAAAGACCTGCAAGGCCTGTGCCCCTGCCACAAGGTGGCTGGCTATTATTCATCCACCTCACTTTCACCCTATGCATAGACATCACTCAGCATCCCCAAGGTCAACATCACTCAGCATCCCCAAGGTCAACATGGCTTGATCTGAAATTTCTTCAGAAGTTCAAGCTACATATCTGGGCCAGGGGACAAATTTGTTCTCATTTTCTCAAGTATCTCCAATGAGTATTTTTTAGGAAAACACTTTTCTATCAGGCTCTGAAAATTTATCTACAATATACAATTTTATGAATAGAATGTATAGGAATATGGACAGTAAAAAGAGTGGAAGGGGATAGTGTTTCAATCCAGTGCTGCTTTTTTCCAGAGGCCATAGTCTGTTACACTTTTTTTTCAGCCCTCCACTCATTTTCTCTCATCCTTCTCTGTAGGGCATCACATCCACTCCCAAGTCTTCAATTCATTCATCCTCTACTGACTCCAAGTTACTTTCAGCCCAGTTTTCTCCTCTGATGTCCAGCTCAATACATTAAAATGACAACAGGGTTTCTCCACCTAGCTGTGACACAGGTACCTCTATTTTACATGGATTTACCTTCCCCTCCAAAATCTTTCTCTACTACGTAATAACAGAGTTCCCTTTCTCCACATCCCATCCTTAAAACTGTGTCAAAAGAATCCTCACATATATGTGGCTCAGTAAGGTCACCATACCCAACAAATTTAAACCAACCATTCCCTGGTGGTTTTGTCTGCTACATACGACGTAAGAGCACATACATGTGAGCCTGGGGTTAAAGCCAGATGATAACTGAGCAGAAGATTTCACTCTTTTTCCTGGTCTCATATTTGACGTAGGACAGCATCCCAAAACTGACTAGGAATATGTTGTGGGGGCTGGTGAGATGATGTCTGGGGAAACACATCGAGTCCTTATTCCTTTGAGAAATTATCTTAACAGCTGCCTTGCAGGAATGACAGAACTCTACACAGTACTCACTTAATAAATGCTATCCTTTATTGTTATTATTTATTAAATGACACTGACACATGGCAGAATGCCCCAGCAAAACAAAGGTCAACCAAAAAACTATCAATCCTGTTTTCTAGGAAATTAAGGGTACTCACTTTTCTTAATTAACTGCTACGTGCCAGGTGATTCTAAGTATTTGGCATGTGTTATTTCATTTTATCCTCATGACAAGCCCTGTCTTCACCACTCATCTATCATTTCAGAAAGGAAACTTCAATCCATCTCACTTTTAATCTAAATATGTTTTTCACTCAGTACATGCTCTCAGATCAATCACCTGCTTCATTACCAGCACTTTTCTTTTTCAAAAACTTCCAAAAAATCAATAATCATTTCAGATAAATAAACCACAAAAATGAATACTAAGTAAAAAGATTAAGATCACTCACTATCCTTCCACCCCAAAATAAGCACTGTCACTATTTGGATGTCTGTAATTCCAGAGATTTGAGGGTCTATTTAAATGTATGTTATATTATCCTCAAAAATGGAATCACACTATGAATACTGCTATTGAAACTACCTTTCTTATTTAACAATGCATGATGAATATATTCTCCTGAAAATATAGATTTCCATCAACATTTTTATCATACACCATGTGAATATGCTTTAATCTGTTTAACCAATCCAGCGTGCTAGTCACTTGTCTGTAATTTTTATTATTTTAGACTATGCTGGGATTATACAGCCTTATGCATATAGTCTTTGGCCAATAATGCAATTACTTCCTTGGTATGAAGGGTTTATATATTTTAAGGTTTACGATATGTGGTACCAAATGGCCTTCCACAAACCTTGCACTAGGGTATGAAAGAGTCCATTTGCCACGCCCTCGTGGACACTGCACAATAGGAGACAGGGGCTTCTATGTGAATTCCTATTATCCTTTCTAGTCAAAAATATTTAGTGGCTCTCGGGGTTCTATGGGGGGTAATATTCAAACAGCTTGCCACAAACTGGTCTCACCCAGCTTTCCAAAAGTATTTACTTTTATTCCTTACCCTTGCCAGTCTAAACAGACCAGTGTCCTAGAAAGAGAGTTCCTACCTCCAGGTCTTCTCACACCAGTCACCCCTTACTCCATCTCATGGAATGCCCTAACCACCTATCCCATTCAGGACTCATTTTAAATGGCTGCTTTCTACATGAATCTTGAGCTGACTACCTACCCCATGGAATCTTCGGCTTCCTCTGTGCTCTGAGAGCGTACATTGCACAATCACTATATGCTCCGGATATTCTGTTATCTTTTTGTTTGTATGTTTCTTATCTTTCCATCTAGATTATAAACCAAAGGACAAGAATGGTTGCTTGCTTTCTTCTTTCTTTTTTTTTGTCTTTCCAGCATTAACACGCAAGTTTATTGATGATACACAAATGAAGTCAATGCAAATGACGGGAGGGAGCTTACTTAGGATGAATTGGTTCACTGTCACTTATGCAGAGAAAACAGTAAAAATATTTCAATCTAGGCAGCAAGATAAAAAGCAACAAACATGTTTTCAGAACAAGTAGTGATATTCATCCAGCTTAAACCTGAAGATCAACTCGGATAATATCTGTGTTGATGATACAATATGATATTCGTTATTCAAAATTGGCAGCTGAAAGGATATATAAACATATATATCCTTGCCATATAAACAAGGTGGAGAAAAGGAATAGTTTACAATGTGTGTTGCTTCTACACTACAAAATCAAAAGTTACTCCTGGCTCTTTGGGATCACACGTTCAGTCACTTTGGCCATGAATTTTCCAACTTTTACTTTCACCAAAAAGTCATGGTGACTTTCTATCCCCAGAATCTTATCAGCACACACTTGAAATTCTTTTAAAAAGAAAAACAGCGAACCTTCGCCGAACTGATTCTGAGTAGGTTCATTTTCTTCCCATTTAAAATGGTCAATTATGTTCTCAAATATGACCAGAAGTTTAAGAATAACCTCTTTGTTCTCCTTCTTATTAAAGAGGGAACCCAGGGAAGATGGTACTTGGGCCCTGAGCAGTTCTCTGGGCATGGCTGGATTTTCAGCCAAATTCAAAAGGAGTTTCAAAACCTGAAGTTTGGTTTCCTCATTTCCCGTGGAAAATAAACGAAAAAAGTCTGAAATAGAATTAGCAAGCATGTGCTGATACTCATTAGTAACAGTCATATTTGTAAGCAATCTTAGTCCAGCCAGCTGCACAGATGAGTTCAAGCGAGAAGTGATTGTGTCATCACACACTTGATTCATGTATATCTTAAGCCTGCGCTGATTTTCAGCATTCACACTCAAGTTATTCAGGACAATTAAAGCCTTTTCCTTAACGATGGGATCCCGAGTATTGAGAATCTTTGCAACAATTGGGAGACCACCCAGATCACGAATAATATCTCTGTTAAATGCATAAGCAGCATTGTTACCCAGAGCAATTAACGCTGCTTCCAGAATATAAGGCTTTTCAGACATCTCCACCAAGCAAAGAACTTTCTGCAGCTCTTGAGGGGATAAAACAGTATCATCTGAATTGGGGGAAGCCCGTTTCTGGACAGCTCTACGAGCCCGGGTAGCCCTGGCTCTGGCCCTGGCCCTAGCTCTGGTCCCAGCCTCAGTCCCAATCCGGGCCCAAGGTGGGTACCATACTATACCCTTGTTCTCACTGTTGTCATCATCATCATCAGACCAGTCATTGTACCTGGCCCCAGGACAATCCCCAGCATCATCCATATCTCCAGATCCACCCTCAGCCATTTTCTCCTTGTTCTGTTTTCTTCCCCGGGTCAGTCTATAAATGCAATAGCAGGCACCAGCCCCAATCACCAGTCCCGCAGTCACCCAGCCTACTTTCCTGGCGTAGCCCATGCAATCGTCCCTGACAAGAGCAGGGACCAAGGAATAGAATGGTCACTCAGGCTGGGGGAGGAGGGCTATGGGCCTGGGTGCGAGGCGGTGGAGAGTGATCCTCTTCAGCCACTTCAAGGCCACAGTAGCTGATACTGCAGGTGGACCTAGGGATGGAGGAGGGAGAGGGGTTTGAGTTTCTCTTCTCTTTGCCTTGCCCCATGCAGAGAGCTGCACAGGGGGGCAGGAGAACAGTAAATGATTACTTCGTAGGAAACCTTGATGATTAAACAAAATTCGCTCTATCCCAGTCATTTCACCCTCCCCACACCCTCCTCAGCCCACTCCCACCCCAAGCCCAGATAAAGGCAACAGAGACCACAGTCTCCGCTGGGACCTAAGCCAATTGCGAGTGTCTCCAGGGAGTGGCACTCTTGCACTAACCTCCTCAAGACAGGCAGATAGCCCCTTCTTCCCTCCCCTGGAGGTGAGCCACGCCCAACAACCCCTGCGATCTGCAGAGAGATCAGACAGAGTCAGTGAGAACTGAGGAGTTAAAGGATTGATTGCTCACTCCTCGCTTTCCTGATTCACCTTCCAGGTTGTCAGATTTTTTTTTTAACCTCTCTGTGACATCCAAAACATGCACATGCTTGCCCCTTCCCTAGCCTGAAATGGGAGGGGTGTTAGGGAAATAAGGTAGAATTAGGTGAGCCTGTCCAACAGTAGCCGATTTCCAACCCCTCCCCCATTGCAGGCAGCCCCCACGCCCACACCGACCTCTACTGATCCGCGGAAACTTCCTCCCTCGCTTCAAGTGGTGCCACCTGCTACGGCAGACCTGCAGGATGACAGATCGAAAACATGGGGACTAAGTGCTGTTGAGAGAGAAGGATTATGAACAAAGTGTCTGATAGGTTTCCCTCCCGTCATCCTCCCCTCCCTGCCCCTCCCCCCGCGACACACGCGCGCGCACACACACATACACACACGCACACACACACTCTCAACGCACGCCATTTCGCCACAGTCCCGGGAGGGTGGTGAGATATACACTCCGTCTCAGACCTAACCTAGATTATTGCCATCTCTGGTTTCGTCTCCCCGCCCCACCACCGCCCCTCTGAGGGTTCGCAGATGGTCTTACCCTCAAATCGACCTTCACCGATCGGGGTTAATTTCTTTCCTCTCCCCTTGCCTGGTGTGGTGCCGCAACTACCGAAAGACTGGCAACCCGGGAGAAGCTCGCACCCACTGGACACAGAGGCACGGTCAGGAAGATCCAGTCACCAGCAGAAAGACGGGAAACAGCCGCGACTGAGTGCTTGGTGGACGGGCCCGTCCCCAGAACACGAAACTCTTTCCTAATTCGGAGGCCTGACTGTCAAAGGTTTCCCACTCTTACGGCCCCTCTCGGGGTTCTGCTGACACATCACACTGCACCCCGCCCCCCCCCGCCCCGCAATGTCCAGCCTTTCCCCTCCGGCACTGTCCTGAAGGACCGGGGGCCAACACCCAGGCCACAGCTCCCTTTCCGGATTACAGGCCTCGGCTCCCAGCGGACTCCCACCTCCCGACCTCAGGGAGACTCCCTAAACACGCCCCAGCTAACCATTTCGCAGCATCGATCTGGACTGCAAACGGGACAGCTATCTTGGAAAGCCGGGCGGCGAGTGGGAGAGACGACGGAGGCGCCTCTGGACCCGCGACGGTCTCCGCCCTAACGCCCTCAGCCACCCCCACCTTCAGGAATCTCCCAGTCACAGACCTGCAGGGATCCGGGACAATTTCCTTCCCCTCCTCCTCCTTCACTCCGCCGCAGGTCCGCTCGCCCTCAGGGCACTGGGGAGCTGGTACTCAGACGGGAACAACGACCAGAACAAGAAGGACTTCTGCACACGTCAGCTCTTGGTCACGTGAGGGCTACGTCATCCACCAACTCGGGTCCCCAATTTCCCCTCCCACCAGCAGTGCGGCAGAAGAGGGCCCGCCCCCCTCCATTCCCTCCCCCATACCAGGCCTTGTTACTCTTTCTTCTTTGCTAATCTCATCTCCCCCGTACTTGTTTTTGCCTTCCTCCCAGTACCAGAAAGGGACAGCATCTTCCCCTGGGGCTACTGGCCGCTTGGACTTTTTTGAAAATTTGTCTCTTCCTTCCCTAGGCTCCTGGGACAGCAACCTCTCCTTCCATCCCCCTCCTCCTAGCTATTAATATCTAACATTTCCTCAGAAATCTAGTCCCAGATCTGAAACGTACAAGCCTTCAGAAAAGTAGACCCATGGTGAGAGTGTGCTTTTTCATTCCTTAATACTTTCTTGTTCTTTTTGTTCTACCCTTTCCCTCCTCCCCACTCCCCTGCATTCTTTGTGAGAAAAAGATTACTATAAAGCTCTTTTCATTTGAGGAAAAAAGAGTAGGAGTTGGAGACAGATGTTGGGTGATGGCCTCCAAAAGTCACATTTTCTCGCTTGTGGGGAGTGTTACATGCTTCACTCAAAGCACTCCCAATGTCTTTTGGGCCTAGCACACAACACAACCCTGAATGAGCTGATCAGGTTGTCTGAGAACACAGAAGTCTTCTGACTAGGCCAGTCAGGAGACCTGCAGACCTTCGCTTGCATCACTGGGCAAAGAAACCCTCAGAAGCCAGAAACAGAAAGAGTGCAGTAGAAATCACAACTTGGGAGGATATCTGTCAGATCAAGGGACACGCACACTGACAAAATGAATGGCATACAAAGAATGTTATCAAATATACATGGATACAAATAGAGAAATGTCATCTTTCAATGAAACCAGTGTTCGAGAACGCTGAGACAAAGACAAATTCAACTAAATCTGGCATCCAGTAATTCGTGTGAAACCATTTCACCCACTGGTTTGATGGCTCGATGATTCACTTGTCAGCAATGATTTAACTTTTTTTATAGTGGGAAAGGTAATAAGGTGATGCCAGAGGATGGGGTCTATAGAGGGATGTTCCCTGAAGCCTGGATAGAGGGTTAGTATCTGAGCATAACTTGTTCAAATCCACAGCCAATGGGGGGATACATCGAGAGACTGGGAAGTTTGGGAACAGGCAAAATTTCAGGGCAGTTCATATCAGTGTAATTTCTGGGAGGCAGTATTAGGACAAGAGTGACATTTAGCAAACAGAAACCAAATCAACTGTATGTTTCTGTGTTTGGAAAAAGTTTATGTGCAGTGAAGGGGCTTATTCAAGCATTGGGATATATGAAAAGGAGTCAGAGGAAAGTGCTGGTAGCTCCCACCCAAGCACTTTCTGGATGAGAGGGAATTTTGGCGAAGATGAATGGAACATTTCATCCCCTTGATGTGTAAGAGTACTTCAAGCTTCCTTAGCTGAAAGCCACTTCTTGAGGTGAACTATTGCCCTTGCTCTGATTGTAAGCTCACCAAGCAACCTTTTGAATTTATGGCTTCCCAAGTAGTAACTTGTCTACAGGGAGAGAAATGGGCTAGTAAGACCGAGAGGAACTGCCATACCTGTGACAGTTGTATTTCTCACTCCTGTTCAAACTTAGCTTCCCTTGTGGCCTATTTACAGGGAGAGAATGTAGAGATCCATGAGTCTGGCCATTCAAGTCTAGATTTATGTGTAAGTCTCTATGAGTGGGGGTCTTTCCTTGACAGAGGCATCTGTTCTCAGCATACAGATGAAGCCGAGGATGATGGCGCGACACTGAACACAAGACCCTAGACTGTAGGTGCAACCTTGTAGAAACCTGTCAGGGGAGCCAGGTGGCTTTCACTCAAATGACAAATGTGTGCATTGCCATTTCCAAGCTGTATCTCTCTCATGCTCAGTGAATGTGAAAATGCCAACTAAGATATGCTGTGACAAATAAGCCCCCAGAACCTCAGTCACCGCTGAACAAAGGGTTAATATATAAAATAGTTAAAGGGTGGGCATTATGCCAGAAACAGAACAGCTCAATACTTTCTTGCTAAAGTTTCACTATTGGACCAAGATAAAAAACTGAAAATCAGTAGAAATTATGACATCCCAAAGAGGACATGATAGATGGTCTCTGGAATAATTGGAAAATATACCAAAGCAGGGAGGTAGTTTATACTAGAAAGGAGAGATAAGAAGCAGTGCTATTGTCCTTGAAGCCTGGCAAAGAGTTGCAAAAATGTGTCTTGGTTGTAGAGGCACATCTATGACACCAGCAATACCTGCGTTTAGCTCTTCATACTCCTTAGTTCTCATGTATATGTTCAAAACTCACAAAAGCTGTTTATGTAAGTACTTAGCAGCCCAAAATGGAATGGCAGATAGTTGAATGTTCGAGTTCTGTTAGAGTAAGTTTTCATAAATAGAATTCACTCTTCTGGAAGCAGTAAATAAAGGATGTTGAAAAGAACAATATAACAACACGATGTTGAAAGAAATGAGGTGGAGGGTTAGAGAGATGGGGCATGATATTGGTGAGTGAATTTGAACTATAAAAATGAGGGAACAGAAAGTTGTGATGTGCTCTGGATTTCTGAATATTCACCAGCCAGGCACCCTGGGCTCCCAGGCTTACCTCCAAAAAGGGCCTCCTCCACACAGGGGCCCCTCACCCAGGGAGCTTCCTGCTGGGGTGTCATATTTCAACGTTCTAAGAAAGAGGCTGCCTAAGGGTCTATATTTAGAGTATGACTCCCCAGCATGGACAGCTGGATGTCTGGGGACTAACTTCTGCATACTTGGTCCCTGAGTTCTGGGATTATGCTGAGGGGGTGTAAGGGTGGTGCAATGAAATGGTAACAGAAGGAGGGAATGAAAAACCTCTTTCTCTTGGTAACTACTTGGGATCCTGTAAACTATCCTTTGTGAGGGGAAAAACGATAAGCATGTCAGGGTTGCTGAAGCGATTTTGTCACCCACCGGCCCCGCCCCCCACTGGAAGATGCTGAACACTAGCCACTGCCAGGGTTGCATGTACTACCTGATGACAGATACAGGAGACAGTGCACCGGTGTCATGGTGGCGTGAAAATGCCATCTGTTGAGTCTTGTTCCCACCAGCGGAATAGCACAGGATTCTCTAATCACAGGGATGTAGGGGTTCCACCATGAAACTTCAGAACAGATTCTTAAAATCTCTGATTGAAAAGCAGACTCAATTTCAAAGTTATTAATCTGTAAGAATTCATCTAAAGATGTAAGATTTATCTGAAATGGGGCCGACATAAAATCTGTCCTCTGATGTCAGAATGAAAGCCCGCCCATGGTCTTCTATGAAGAGCTCAGTCACCTGACACCTAATACTGTGGGTTCAGCTAGGAAGAAGAAAAGGGCTAGTGGTTCACTTCTCTAAAGTCCTCATGAAGAAGACACCCACCACCTCACTTGAGATGCATTTTATCGGTCACTGTATAAATCATATCGACAGCACACTTGTTTTGTTTGTAGGAATACATTTTTAAATTTTAATATACTGTTTGAAGGCTGCTATTTCCTGTGCAGTCAAAAGAAAATATTTTCAAGCTGGCACAAATCAACCAAATCAATGAGGCCTCCCTTTTAACTGGGAAATTTTGTTTTTGCTACATATATTTAAAGACTTGGATTCTTTGTTGTCCCTGTGAGATAGTAGCTTTATTGTATTTCCTGATTACAGAATACCGTAGCTCCAGTCAATAAAAAACTGAAGGAAGGATGAAATAGAACATGGATCCAAAATATCAATAAAACCTCACTTCTTGAGCTCTTTTTGTCTTCCTCCTTAGCTTTGGAGCAGAGACTGAATGTGAAAAGGGGTAGAAATTCAGCGGGTCAGGCAGGGGTTTCAGCCTCAAGAAAAGGGAGAGACATTTCCTGGAGAAGAAGTAGAAGTGAACGGTAGACCCAGAGATACTGGCCCTTCCTGTAATTAGAGAAAGGCAAATTCACACACCAGAGAGCCACGGCCACTTCTGGTTTCTGGTATTGTTACAGAGGAAAAGAGTGACAGGGCCCAGTGTGATGGGGGGGAAGGGGGAGGTACGGGGCAGGCTGGCGCCTGCCGCACTGCTTGTGGGAGTGGAAATTGGGGACCAGAGCTCACTGGTGACGTGGTGGTCACGTGACCAAGAGCTGCCTAGAACAGAAGTCCTGCTAGTCGCCTCCGTCTGGGTACCAGCCCCCTATTACTCTGCAGGCGTGTGAAGGAAGAAGGAAAACTAGCCCGGACGGTGCAGGTCGGTGAGAGCGTGGTTTCTGCTTGGAGGCAGGTGGGGGTGGGAAGGGGCCACGAGTGTCACGGCTCTTGGCGTGGGCCGATGGGGGCTGTGTCCCCGTCTCGCCCGCTTTCCGCATACCGCCCCCCAGCCCCTTGCCGGTTTTCCCGGGGAGAGCCGGCGGACTTCGGGCGGGGGTCCGGGGAGTGGATGGCGGTGACAGCGGCTCCCAGGAAGGGAAGCTTCCACCATCAGCGCGCGCGCGTCCCGATTGCTGCTCCGTCCACCAAGCGCTTCATGCCCTCGGCCCCCTGTCTGTCTGCAGGTCTGTAAGTCTCTTGGCCCGAACGTCTCCGCGAAAGTCGCGGCGAGGGAAAGAGCAAACTGCCTGGGACCCGCAGGACGGGTCGCTGTGACGGTGCGGCGAGCCCTGGAACCTGGGAGGGGGTGGCGGGCCACGGAGGGCTCGGATCCGTGCGGGCCGGGTCCGAGTCGCCCCCTCCTGGCCCCTTCTCTCTCCACACCCCCTCCCATTTCAGCGCAGGGAAGGGGTGTGGCGGCCTTTGCCTGGGAAATGGCGGACGACAGGGGGGAGGGGGGCGGGGACGCCCGCGTTAGGAAAGTCGGAGGGTGTGAGAAAGAATTTAAACTCAAAGGCCGGAATTTCAGAAAAGAGCTATGGGAATGTGCTGTCCGCATTGATCCTTCCACTCCACTTTCAGTCCCCTTGCCGGCTGGCTGCCTCTCCATCTGTCCTTCTGTCACAGCCTCTGTCCATCAGCCGCGGTGGAAGGAGCACTAGAAACAGAAGACCAGGGCAGAAGAAGGGATGTACCTGACTTTGGTGGAGGTGGGTGGGAGCAACTGCCTGCAATGCTCTGGGGACGTGTGGGTGCAGTGGTGGACATGCCCTGGGGGCTCCCCCCTGTCACCTCCCTGGGTCTCTGGCCACAGCCCACTCCCTGCCTTTCTCTGTGGGGCCTGGAAGAGACATGCTGGCTAAGGTGGCTGGAGGGTGACAGAAAAGAGCAGACGTAGTTTCTTAATAATTCCTAATAATCCATCCACTCTCTCGCTCAGAACCCAAACTCCATTCTGCATCTGGTGAGTAACCCTAATACTGTATTTAACCCATAGATTCATCACAAGAGAATTACAAGACCTGGGAGAGGCTGAAGACCACTTCCTGCCTCCACCACTCACCCTGGCCCTAGGGGTCTTCTTCATTCAGGTGGAGCAAGGCCCTCTGATGTCCTGCCCTAGGTCGGGCACAGACTGGAGCATGGGCCGGGCTCGGGAGGTGGGTTGGATGGCGGCAGGACTGATGATTGGGGCCGGGGCCTGCTACTGTGTCTACAAGCTAACCATAGGAAGAGAGGATGACGAGAAGCTTGACGAGGAGGAAGAGGAATGGGACGATGACCAGGAGCTGGATGAGGAAGAACCGGAGTTTTGGTTTGATTTCATGACCATGGGTCGGCCCTGGAGTGAGGATAGGGACTGGACAGAACCTGGGGCCCCTGGTGGCACTGAGGACAGGCCCTCAGGTGGCGGCAAGGCCAACAGAACACACCCCGTAAAACAGCGCCCATTCCCTTATGAACATAAAAGTACTTGGAGTACTCAAAGCTTTAAAAATGTCACTTGTGTTCTGGGCCTCTCCAAGTGTCCTTCCATTCAGGGTAAAATGCCATTTGCTCAACCCAAGCATGCGGGTTGTTCATTGAGCCGCAGTATCAGTAGTCATTTGGCCAGACTCTCCACTGCTGGAAACACAATCCCCACTCCCGACCCTGCTCTTAAGGAGGAGGCGGTCTGCACCCCGGATAACTGGAACGTGAGAGCTGAAGTTCAGGGCCAGATTAAGATGTCCATCCATGGAGTGTGTCGGCAGACTGTGTCACTCTGCGGCACCTCATTTCTGCAGCAGGCCGGATTAAAGTTGTTAATGGGCATGGCGGTTATTAATGACATGCTTGCCAAGCCCGTTGCAGACTTGAAGTTTCCTCTGATAACACAGGGAAGTGGCTGTGCCGAGGCGCAGGTTTGGAAACCCTTGATGGGTTTGTTTGAAAAGCCGGGCTGGGCAGGGGAGTTGCTGGGTGCCCAGGTGCTGCTCTCATTCATGTCCCTCTTAGTCAGGCCCGGAAACAGAGAGCCGCTCCCAGACACCCTGGTCTCTTAAGAGGCCGCCTCCCCCAGAACGGGACCGACTGCACCCCAGCCCCACTTGGTGAACCCCGCTGGTGTTCTCCTCCAGAGACTCTGCGGTGGGTGTGCCTGAAGATCCGGCTTTAGCCAGTCACCGCACCCTGGGGTGGCAGCTACAGTTGCTGGAGGCAGGACCCCCCCCCCTTCCTGGCCACGGGGTTCCCCCCAGCTCTGAGAGGCTGCTTGGGCGGGGCATGTGCAGGCCAAGGGCTTTGTAAGTCACTGCCCTGCAGCCTTCTCCCTGAGGCTGCGAAGGGAGCCTTTCAGCTGCCAGCCCAGCACAGAGAACTCCCTATCAGGGCGTCACCAGGGAGGCCGGGCACCCGGTGCCCCTGTCGAACCGGGCCACTTTGTGGAGGCCAGACCCAGGTGGGAGCTTGTGCCCGACCTGCAGTACTTTGTCTCTGCCCAGGCTGAACTCCTCTCACTCACCTTCTCCCGGGCCGGCCCGGCCCACCCCACGGGTGGTGAACCTCTTCATCAAATGAGGCCGCTCCCCTTCTGCCTGTGGTCCCCACTCAGCCTCACCCACCCAAGCCTGCGTCTGTGTGTAGCAACAATAAAGTCGTGTGTTTCGATTGGCATAACCCAGGCGCGCTCCTGTCCTTGAGTTGGCCGTCGCACCTGCACCGAGAGGAGGGGAGATGAACATGAGGAATGCTCAGGACCTGGGCGCCCTGACAAGGCCTGCTGCTCAGCGCTCCGGGAGGTGGGCCGGGGGTGGGCTGTGGAGTTCAGGATGAGCTGCAAGAAGGCGGTGGAGGCCGGGGGCTGCTGCAGGGCAGTGAGGGTGGGTGGGAGTCGGGGAGGGTGCAATTCCGCTGCAAGGTTGACAGACTGAGAGTCCACTGCACAGAAATCCCTCGGGGAGCAGGTGTCTCCTTGATGGCCAGCCCAGAGAAGAAGGTCAGCGTCCCTGGGCGTGCCTGCACATCCTTGCTGGCCACCAACACCCACCTGTGCACATGAGCACGTGCACCATGGTGCCATCCCGGTTGCCACTTGCCCAGGGCCAAAGTGCCGACGTGCCCTCTCCTGGGAAGCAGCTACTCCACCTGCCTTCAGCACCGCTTCCTTGGCATCCCAAGCCCAAACTGGGGCAGGGTGAGAAGGATCAGCCCCTGTTTCCTCTGGAGGAACCCCCTTTCTGCGCTCTCCCAGCAGCTTCAGAGACATCCAGGAAAGGGAGCTTGGGATCCTCCATCCACTCCCAGTGGGGTGGGAGGGCAGAGGCTGAGGGCCCTTGGCATGGCCTTGGCCGGTCTGTCCACCCGGACACACCTCCACCCTTCGTCCAAGGCCCTGGCTGCCACCCCTTGGTGCAATGAGAGAGGCCAGCCCATCCCGGGTCCACTGAACCAGCCCTGGATCTGGATCTGGGCAATTTCACCATCCCTCCCCCACAACACAGGCCCCTCCCAGAAGCCTTGGCCCAGCGTCCCCACAGCCAGGCTCCCTGCCTGCTTTCCAGGTGTCCAGCAATGGGCCTCTTCCTTCAAGCCCTGGTCAACACCGCCCACAAGACTGCGTCCCTTGGGCTAACCGCTTTTCCCTGGGGCTGGGGCCGGGGCAGTGGAGGGAGAGGGACACCTTTCCTGCTGGTGCGCGCCTGCCCCATGCTTCAGAAGAGTGACTGGCATGGGCACCTGGCAAGTTCCAGGACCCACTCTGGGGAGTCCTCCTGCCTGGAAGGGGGCCCTGGGGAGGTCGTCAAAGCTCGAGCTTTCACACCACGTGCTGTGAGCAGCTGCCCTGCGTGACTGGGCCACCCTGGCCCCGGGGGTGTCTGGTGCAAATCTGGGGCTGCCACCACACATGCCCTCCAGCTCCAGCCAGGGCCCCGCTTTGGCTTCTCATTTGTCTGGGGCTCGCCTCTGCGTCTGTGCCTGGAGCTACTGGCTTCCACGTGGACTCCCAGGGCCCTCCCTAGCCTGCCACCCCTCGTGGGGATTTTGGACTTTAACTCCTTGCTCCCACATTAGCACAGGCCAGGTTGCAGGCAGCCCGCTCCCGGCTGGTACATCCGATCTCCAACACCCCATCTTCATGGGGACCCTATGTGCCACCCTCCAAGCACTTTCCACCTCAGTCCCTCTGTTGAAGTGCCCCCACAGACAGGCATGGGGGGGTCACCCAGGCCAACTCTAAGCTGCCCCAGCACCACTTGGCTGAGAGCTCCCAGCCAAGCTGCGGGCTGGCTCCTGGCTCCCTTCTAGGGACCACTGATTGACTGGGCTGAGCTGCCCCACAGCCCAGCCAGGTCCTTCAGGGGAGCACACAGCCCCTTGTCTGTTACCCACCCACCCCATCTGTCTCCTGACACTCTCGCTCCCCTCCACACTGGCACTCGGGAGGGCTGATCCCACTTGCCTCCCTTTCCCAAATGGATAGGCAGCCAGCTAACCCCGCACCACTGCCCGCTTGTCCTCAGGCTTCTGCGTGGCACCTTCTGGCACCCTCGGGCCCCCAGCCAAGCAAATATCTCCTCTGGGACTTGCTGGTGTTCAAGTCCCTCCTGAGATGCCCCCCCTTTCTCCCAGGGACCTGTGACTCAGGACCCCCAGCTCACTTCCCCGGCTGGCCTATGGCAAGGGCGCTGAGTGTGTGTGTGTGTGTGTGTGTGTGTGTGTGTGTGTTGGCAGGCAGGGTTGTGTTGATGGTTGTCAGCTGGGCTCTGGCCTAGGCGCCAGCCCAGGACACCTACTTGCCCCTGGGGAACAGGAGCCCTCCCCTGCCTACTCTAGCACCCAGGTGTTCTAGACGCTGGTTTCTTCCCTAAACAAAATTTCTTAATCTGTAGGAGAGAGAAGAAACTGGAGGACACACTGTCTTGCATATATCTTAAATATTTATATTCTTTGCTATTATATATTGTCATATATAATTTTAGGTTTTTCATGTATTATAGATCATCTTTCTAATGACACTTTTTTGCTCGTGGCAGATGTAGTGTTTGACACTAAAAGGTTAATGAGAGACTCATTTTTTAATCTTTCTGTTTTTGTATCTTTTGAGCTGTTTGCTTATATAAATATATAGTTCTCATCCAAAAATTAATTTAATATGGGATAATTATTGCTGTTTTATATAAAAAAGTCTCTTGAGATAGCATTGTCATTCTGCAGTCACTTTCTGTTGGTGAACTCTCTTATTAATTTTGTTATTTTACCTCCTTTTTCTTTCTGACTTTTTAAGCAGACAAAGGTAGTTTACAAATTATGACAGTTTTATCTATTTCTATTCAATAGTTCACAGCTCATTTCTTTTTCTTATCTCATTGCACTGTCAAGGAACCCAGAACAACAGTAGCGATGATATAGTGCACACTCGCCTTGTTTTGGATTTTAATGGTAGATGTTTCATCAGGAAGGTTGATGTTTTCTGTAGGTTTGTGAATAAGTAATATGTCATATATTTATATAATAGAATTTATAAAACTGTAAAATGAGCAAAATAGATGTCTATATATCACTCCAGTCAATTCTCAGAAATGTAATGTTGCATGAAATAAGCAATTTGTACAGAGATACAATATGATATCATTTATATAATTTTAAGCATATGAAACAGTGCTATATATTATTTACATACATACATATAACAAAATTAAAAATGGATGCTGAAAGACACATCCTTTTTTAATATCAATTGGTTCTAGGAAAGGATGAAGGAATATGGATTCTAACAATATATGTAACTTAATTTTATCTATTAATAAAAAGATTGTCAACAAATACCACAAAGTGTTAACATTTGTTGTTACTTATGGATGATTAATACATGCCTTCTCATTTTTTCTCTGTATTTCTCTTTTATTAATTAAAAAGACATGAGTATTGTGTCACTCATATAATCACTATATCATGACTCTTATTTATCCAGTGGACTGAGGTGGAGGATTATTGGCACTGTGGTGGTGGGGGTAGCAGGGTAATAAACATTTGAGGAAGAGTGAACCTGTACTCCTAAAACATACAGTGGTGTTTCAAACTAATCTTACCTCAATAAGAGGTAAAAGGGTAAACTGCGGATACCTAGATACATCCTCTAGGAATTTCATGATAAAAAAAGGAGACATCAAACTTTGTAAAGAGAAAGTAATCTACAAGTCAGGCTGACAATAGGCTTCTTATTCATAATACTGTATGCTAAAAGTCATTATATAAAGATTGTCTTCACACTCTTAGAATATGTGCTTTTTCTATCTCTAAATATGCTATCAAGTAGGTATGTAGTGACAATACAGATGTTTTCAGGACTCAAAGTACTCAGTTTATTTCCTATTGATTTTCTTTTAGGATGTTATTTCAGCATGTACTGCTGGAGAGTGATAAAGTAATCAAGTCAGAAGCAAATATGGAATCATGGAAATAGAGATTTTAACTTAGAAAAACAATAAAATGAATTTTTGAGTTTTTTAAAAAATTTTTTATTCATTTGTGCATACAAGAACTGGGGTGTAGGCTAGAGGTGTGGGGGGCAGAGGGAGTGAGAGGACTCACCAGAGACAGAGTGGGGAGCAGAACAGGCGGATCTACTGAAATACACTGCTGGGGGAAGCAGCGGGTGAGCCAGGAGAGATCTGCTGCACCATGTGGGTCAGCTCCCTGGCTGGGGATCGAACTCATGTTGGAGTGGCTGGTGATAGCTTGATAGTTCTGAGACTTAAACCCTTGAGCCAACAGGGAGGCTCAATAAAGATGAGTTTTAAGGTGACAGCTAAACTGCATGTCCTGGTTGACCAGACCGAAGTGGAGCAAGATGATACAGGATTTGTGGTAATGGATGAACTCCTGAACAAAAGGGGACTTGATAAAATTAATTTAGAGGTTAGAAAAAGTAGAGGGTGTGATAAAAGCAATTAAGAAAAGAAAAACAATTAGAAGAACATCTGAGAAAATATTATAGTAATGACTTCCAGTGAACTGTGCCTCCTTGAACCCATACCATAGTATAGTCCCCTCCTGTATTGACTATGGTCCTGGCCAAGTGATTTACTTTGGCCCGTTTGAACATTAATAAATGTGATCCATGAAAAGATTTAAATACTGCATTTTCACTGGAGAATGCATTCTTCCTGCTCTGAAACCACCTTGTGACAAAACCCAGACTAACCTGCTGAGGATGAGACCATGTAGACCAGACATGAACTGTTCCACTGAGGACCCCTATAAAGAACTGCCAGATAAAACACAGGACTCCCCATTAAACTTGAATTTCACATGAACATAAGACATTTTTTAATATAAACATGTCTCAGATACTGCACGGGATGTACTTATACTAAAAAAAAATATTAATTATCTGGATTTCAAATTTGACTGGGTAGTTTCTATTTCTTTTTTGTTTGCTATAATAGGCTAACCTAGCCATAAGAAGACCAGCCTCCACCTGATCCATCAACTGACCCCAATATACAAGTGATTTCAGACAAGGCTAGCAGAAGAACCAACTAGACAAGTTCAGTGCAAATTTCTCATCCTCAAATTATTTAGTACATAAGATGATTGTTTTAAGTCTTTGTGTCCTAGAATGGTTTGTTACATATAAAAGTTGATTTATAACTTGCACCTAGCTGTACTACATCAGAAGACAGTAGATAAATATGCCCTGGCTACTTGGTTTGCAGAACCACTGCATCAAAAGGAGTTAAAATCAGAAAAATCAAGAACAGTT